AAAAAAAAAAAAAAAAAAAAAAAAGGTATTTTTGGACTGCTTTCAGAGAGTACAATGCCGATATCTCCAATTGTTAAGAACATAACAAATGTATCAAAACAAAAAACATTCTAGGACATACACAGGTGTCTGAAAAGAGGAAAAGTGGAAAAGGCTGCAAGACACTTCTTTCAGCCAGAGTGCCACTTCAAACTGGACAACTGCGGCAGTACTTCATCACAGAGTGGGATTTTCTGGTTGATTTTTTGTCGGTGTTTTTTTTTTTTTTCTTTCTACTTTTTTCTTTTAAAGGTAAAAACTAGATATTGACTAGCCAATACGACAAATGTATAAAACCACTGAAGACAATGAAAACAGTGTTCTTCAGCTGACTTCATGAAGTCCCTGTCTGTAAACTTTTGGGCAACATTCATTGCTCTTCATCAAAATTTCAACAGAAAAAAGAAAAAAAACCAACATAACCAAAGACTACTTATCGTCTGCCCTAATAAGGGGCAAGAAAACACTTGCATATAAGCAGAACTGTAATTAAAGGAATGTGTTGCTTCTTGGATTAGGTTCTTTGCTGTTACTGTTCTTTATTAACTTAGCAAATATTGATAAATGTAATTAACACCATTCCGATTACCTGTGTAATTTTATCCTCTTGTATGTCACCCCAATACACCCAGCCAGGAGGGAGGAAGGATCTCAGTTTAGTATTTCGCCAACATTTTTAGATGCATACAAGCATCTAAAAGTTAAGCCTAGATAGGCTCAGCTAAAGTTGCGTACCTAGGGACCCTATTTGCTTGTATTTTTAGGTTTCAGAAGACAACTTTGAACTTCACAATTTAAATGAATATATTCATGAAGTCTCTACTCTAAATTTATAGTGATTTAAATTAAAGATTTTACCTCTAGTGTCTCTTCTGCAGTACAACCAGGCTGCTGCTGTAGCTTGCCAGTGTTCAGAGCTTCAATATACTCATCACATTTCTTATAGCCAGCATTCAGGAGCTCGTACTTAGCTTTTAGCAGGCCCTGCCCAGGGGTTACATCACCAATTCCAATTGAAAAGCCACGATTAGCTATTATTAAAAAAGAAAAGAAAAGATTATATTGATAGCTCAATCTCATATAGAGAAAACAAATTAAAACCAGGAAATATCATCAGGAACTTTATTTTTTCCTCCCATCATGTGCCCATCATAATCAGTTGTTTCACTGTTTCTGTCAGCTTCACAACTAGCTTATTTTTTTTAGACATAGTACATCGTATTCAAAGCAAAAATCTTGCTTGATTGCTCTGTATTTCTGCTTTAAGATACTATTCTACAAGGAAATGTACCTCCCCCATTACTTACAAAGATAGACAGGAGCAAGTCTGGCTAGTCGCGACATGGCATCTGCAGCTTCTACCTGTCCCCAGTCTCTCAGCAAGATGTAGAAGATGTTGTTCTTGGATCCTGAACCTAAGGTTCCTTTGTCCATACTGCCACTCATTAACTCACTGTTTTGAATTGTGACATCTAGATATAAAAAGGCAAAAGAATTCATTGTTTTTCTAAAACATTATCTAAACTCTAGTAATCAGTTATGGAGCAGGTTTTTAAACAAAAGCTCTATTCATGAAAAGAACAAAACCCAAAGACATAAATTTAATGTATCTGTAGAAGTGCATGAGTAAGGGGAATAGTCTAGGACCTGACCTTACCAACTTAAGTTAAAATTTATTTCCCTTCCTCCTTAGAAAGGCAACTGTATCCAATTTAAGACCTGTGAGAAACATTGTGAATAATCCTTTTTATTAAAAATCTAAAAAGAAACTTTGCTTCATTAATCACAATAAAGTCTTCAATCAATCTTATCTGTCCAGAAATAAAGTCCTCAATCATGCATAATAAACCAAAGTTATTTATTTATAAAGTAGAGCAACAACATTTCAGAAGTGAAGTTACAGTTCTCTTATTCAAAGATTCTGATATTCAGTTCAACTCAATCACCTCTGGAGGCACAAATTAAATTTAGAAGACACACTGGAGTCAGGTGTCTCTAATTACAAGCATATCATGAAGACATCCATCTTGCCTGTAAGTCTATATAGACTTCCTCTTTTAGATGACTTCCTTTTGCTTCATCAGGGACCTTCCATTTCAGGCATTGAATCATCCTTATAAGCTTTAGCCTTTAAGCAATTAAAAAGTATCTTCTGTACATGAATTTTAGACATATTTTCTACGACAGCAGTACAATATATGTTCATCCTCAACTTCATTACACATCTTTCAAAGAACTGGCATATGCAGATGGATCCAATTTAAATCATTTTATGCAGAATGCTGTAGATCTTTGTACACTGTACTTTACGCTCAATATTTTCAATGTGAATTTAGGTAATCATCTTCTTGAACCAGAATTCACTGTTCTATTACTTATTATATACAATCAAAACATGATACCAGGATTTCTTGAAACTTCAGAGAATTTGCAGAGAACTTTCTGAAGAGAGTTAGTGTTGCTTCAGAAATGAAGTTTTTTCAGAGAACTGAACAGAGCCACCAATGAAATCCCAAAGTTTTCTGCATCGTCTACTACTGTTGAACTCAGAAAATCGAAATTCTTCTCATACTTCCTTAAATGAAAAGGCTGCAGAGCAAAGAAGATGACCTATGTTCACATGAGTGTGAACAGGATTGCTTTGTTGCCTTTCACTCCACATTCCTCAGAGGCTGAAAAAAATTGTGCTACCATGTTTATAACCAACTTCACAACCACAGAGTGGTCCTACCTTCTAAAGAAATCGCTCAGAGTCTGGTGTAGAGTGGATTTGAGTCCTAATTAGTAACTTCTTTCTCACATCAGCATTACATGACAGAATTACTGTAAATCAATGGCTCCTCCCTAGGTTCCTTAACTCACACTTCTGAGCAGCAAGGAGCCAAGTTTATCCTGCCTGCTCCAGTTCTTTTCCAGCTGTTACCACATGAATGTTAAATTAATAACAAGCAAAGCCTTGCTCATCTCCTACAGCTTCTTCAATCCTGATGCTTTGTATTCCATCTGCCACTCTGACTTCCCAAACTGGAAGGATACAGACAGTTTGATATCCTAGGGATACCTATCTTCCCTACATATACTAAGTTCTTTCACTGTTTGCCTCCTAATCCCTGTATCACTACCACCACTCCAGATATTACATTTTTCCATTTGCCTTCTGCACAATTACTTCCTAAGCTTCTTTGCTTTTATCTCTCTCTCACCTTCAAATACTACGTTAGTATCACAACAAGCCTAGCATCACACAAAAGAAATTTTATCACAAGAATACACTCAAGTCTTTTCTTTGGTGTTCAGCATGACTTCAACTTTTGAGAAAAACTGCATAATTTTATTTTTCATTTCAAGAATACTTATGTGAAATACTGCTTTAACTCCTATAGTGAGCTAAACAGCAACAAACTCAACAAAACAACAGCTACAATGTCTTTGAAGACTTCCAAAACATAGCTGAGGAGTGTCACTCACAAGAATCATTGTAACACAGGTCTTCCCCTTTGCCACAATACTGTTTGCCCTTGGTTCGTAGATTGGCTTTTACAGGACAATCATCACTGGGTTTGAGAATGAGGCTGAAAACCTGTTTTCCTGTCCAGAGTGTTACAGGCTTAGAGAAACAAAAGGACAAGAATTAGGATCACAGAGTTTATGCTACAACTACAGTAAAACAGCAAGCAAGAATTTAATTGTAAAATTGTTTTCTATACAGAAGTTTTCTATACTGAACTATACTTGTAGAAGTGCATAGTAGCATTCCTTCGAATAGGGAAGTATTATGCACTTTTATAGATACAAAAACGCCAACTGCTGAATGGTTATCTGTTACATAAGGGTATGTGCATGCATTTAGAGAAACATGCTCTATTGCTCCCTCTTACTGTCATGTTTCCCTTTCCAATTAGGGGAAAAAAAACAAAAAAACAAACAAAAAAAAGAGATGCTGCTGTGATTTCACTTCCCAAAGAGGTTGCAACATTTATAATTCCTTCTTTATAGAGTGCCTTTGGTTTAAATTTTTAGGAGGTTAAAGATTCATATAATTATGTATTCTGCTCAGCTGTAATTAAACATAACTAACTCACAGCTAGTGCTAAAATTATTCATTTGGAGTGACAGAAGCAGTCAAAGAATCACTGCTCTTAGCTATTAGCAAAAGTTCATATAAATTTGTAAAATTCACATTAGATACTGCCCATAAATGCTCTGACCTTACCGTAAATTAGTATTATTCACTGGTATTTCAATTTCACTTGCTGAATTTCCTTAATATTACACTTACAGTTTTGAAATTAAATAAAGGGTATAAAAAAAAAAGTATACACTAATACTTAGTATTTAACAAATTTGAAAATGTACCAAACTCTCCTCAAACCATACTGTTTGCCTCAAATACAAAATTAATCAAATACAGACACCCTTAAAAGGATGTGAATGAAGGCCTAACAGACCCTAATCTAATAAATGATGCTACAGCTCTCTTCAAAGTTTGTGACAAATACACAAATACTCTGCCCTTCCTAATAAATATTTTGTGTATGTGACGTAACAACAACAACAAAAAAACCCAAGCCCCAAACAAAAAATAAAACAAACAAAAAATTCACATAGCACTCATCCTCTTTAATCTTTAATACATTGCCAGGTTAACAACCAAAGCATACTGTTTCCCAGGTTTAACATCTCCTAAATTTGGGATACTGAAACCTAGAACTGATGAGCATTTCAGGATATTAATTGAGAGCACCCAAGGAATAACATAGTTTCTCCACTTAGCACCATATTAGTCTGCACAGCCAGTAACAGTGACATTACTAAGATCGATCTATCTTCTACTGACCATCAGTAGCCAAGTATTCTGTCTCACAGTAGTAGGATAGCAGCAAAGCTATGTTTGAACCCTGCATCTGGCCTGCACCATCCAGGGTTGACTCTGTTCAGCATCAGGAACCACCAAACAACTTCGGCATATCTTTGACCCTGAAATCTGATCCTTGCGCTTTACACTTTACAAATACAAAGTCTCATACAAAACTAACGTCAGAGAAAACAAGAACTGTCTCTGCTGAGAGCATCGCTATGGGTCAAGAACACGCAACAGAGAAAATCTTAGTAACATTAAAAAAAATAGTTTGACACACCTTCAGAATTGCTGGAGGTGGAAGACGAACTTTAATCTTTTCATCCTTGCCAACCAGGATAGAAGCAATAATTTGGCAGGCTTTGGCTCGATCAAAAAAGGTATCTTTTAACGTAAGAAGATAGGCACCTAGAATGTAAAAACATTATTAACGTGACAGACTAAAATGAGATTAACTTTTAAAAGCTGTTGCATATTCAGTATCAATGATTTCATTCTAATGCAAAATAACAATAGTTTAGGCAACTTCAGTTGTAAATCCTTGCCAGAATGATTTTTTCTTTAATTGCTCCACACTCAAATTTCTAAAAATTAAAAACAGTGCATTTCTATGATCTATTCTCCCTCTCAGACTCTATCCCATAAGTAAAAATAAGGCCCTGGCAATAATTTTTGTATGCTTTCTTCCTTACATCCATTGGACATTTCCCAAAGAATTAAGCAAACTTGAAGGTACTTACTGTAGGCTAAAACTAATTTTTGACTAATGAATTCAGCTTCTCTACCATAATCTGAAGCTGTTTACATTGTCTACCTAATGCATACAAAGATGCCAAACATTAATTTTCTTTGCCAGAGAAACACTGCAAAACATACACAAATGTAATAAGAATTACACCTACAAAGGTAGACAGTATCAGAAGACATTCTGAGGACATCATTACATTTCAGACTAACAATGGCCTTACTTCCTAATGTCACTTTGACTTGTAAAAGGAGAAATTTTTTAATTAATATAGAAAAATTCTGGAAGAGAGAATTGATTTTGAAGGAACAACTGTGAAATCACACAGCTCTAAAATAAGCTTATATACACACCTGTGAGGAAATCCTGAATAGCAGCAATGAGAGGTTCTCCGTTTCTTGGTGTAACCAAGTTTGCTTTAGTCTGTATGACACAAGAAACAAAAAAATTATGCATTTGAAGACACTGATGCTTCATTTGTTATTCAGAAGGAAACTTACCATTTAAGACAGTTATTTTAGCAAAAATGGTAAAAGCTTATTCTAAATCAAAGTACAGCTGTCTTCAAAAAGATAGAAAAAATAAATTAGAAGTTTCAGTTCACTACAGTCCATGCAAATCTATGACAGTTAAGGAATAATTTGAGAACAGTTACTGGAAATTACATATTCTCTTTCCAAAGCAGAAGTTGCAATCAACCTGATGTGTTTGGTAGGTTACTGTTCAAATAGGACAGGGAAGGAAGACAAGCTAGCTCTGAGAATCTGAGAAGGGACAAAAGAGGTTATACTCGCTACAGGGAGCTAGTATTTCAATTTGTGTGATCCCTACTGATACGTAATAATCAAGCTAGCCACTTCCACTAGCCCCATTTTCTTATGCCTTACTCAGACTACTGCTCCAATTAATCACCCCCACCTATGCAGCACAGTTTTGCCTGAAGTGTTCACAGGCCCACACAAACCTAAATCACACACTTGGGGGGTGTGTGTGTTTTCTTTTTAAGCTCCCAAATCAGTTCAGCAAGGCAATACACGCTGCAGCCAACAGCTGCGTTTGTACATCTGCAGTAGCAGTGGCATTCAGTCACCCTAAAGGAGCAATGTACTGGAAAATCCTCAAATTGTTGCTACTGACTCTACTTTCACACCACAGATCAATGCCCGCAATCATCAGATCCCTCTTTATCTACCCTCCCTTCTTCCTTTTTTCCCCTGACCTAAGAGCCTACTGTCTCCTGCCTTCTCTGGTAAACTGCCTTCTCCAGTACACACTATTGCTGCCTCATTTCCAGTTGGTCTGACCGCCTGCAATTGATGGGCTGTCAGACCAGAATGCAATGTATCTGTTTGGTAACAGAGCCACCCTATTTTGGTAGCCATCACTACAGACAGTCTGGCAGAAACATACTAATGACATCCACTTACTTAAAACCACTGAATTTTCCATGGATGCTAAATATAAGTCTATTAGACTACCATTGCGTAACAGTCCTAATTTATCTAAATTCCCTTTTGCAGAGTTTTCAGGCAGCTTCACAGTCACACGTTATCCATACCCAGGAATCCTGATAATATTTCAGATTTTACATGCAAGTTAAGAAATATGGGGCTCAGCCCATCTGTCACTAGCAAAATTCCAACCCCAACATGACCTACGTACCCCCATTAAAACAAGTGCTTCTGCTTTTGCTTCTTCTGTCTGAGGAAGGTGAAGGTTCATCTCATCTCCATCAAAGTCTGCATTGTATGGTGTACAGACACATTCATTAAATCTGAATGTTCTATGAGGTTTTACTCTAGCCTGAAAAAAAAAAAGATGCACATGCAGTCAAGCATGCTATAAGATGAACCGCCATGCCCGAGTGCTTCCTTGTAGGCTTTATCCTTTCTTTTTATTACAGACATGAAGTCAAAATTTCTGATTACAGGTTTTAACTCAACCAGGAACTGACAGAAATTGTACTCAGATTATAATATACAAATGTAGCTAATAACTTTCATTATTAAGAATTTATACAAAGCACAGAAAACAGAATGCTTTGTAGAGATCACACCAACTCTACCAAAATGAAATGCTTATGCAAGAACAGATACCAAGGTCAATTACGGCTATCAACAGAATTGTCCAGACAGCATACTGCCCAGTTACACATCAGTTCCCATGCAGAAGCACCACTGCACTGTATTCATGCTCGTCGCCACACAGTGTTTCAGAAGAAGCTGTTTATTTTTGTGTGTGCAAGAGATAAACACCAGCAAAGGTAAACCACCTAATATTCAGGGATGCACTACCTGTATGTTAGGCTGTGTGTGCACTTACAATGTGAGCCATGATGCTCAGCTTATGAAGAGAGGGTTGGCGATTAAACAGGACTATGTCACCATCTATAAGATGTCGCTCCACAATATCACCAAACTTCAGCTCCTGGGCCATCTTTTCTCGGTTTCCGTATTTCAAAAACCTTATGGAAACACGTAACAATGAAGTCAGAATAAATAAAGTCATAAAGATGTAAAGACAACTGAAAATAAATTCTGTGTTTATAATGCATTAAATTAAATGAATAAAATAAATAAATAAATAAAAATACATAAATATATTTATTTTAAAAAAATTTATTATTTTTATTTTATTGTTATTATTTAATAAATAAATAAATAAATAAATAAAATCTTCCATTAAATGTTGGAGTATTTGTGTTACAATAACTAAAAGACAAAACTGGTGTGGATTGCTTCATTAAACAATCAGCCCTGCTGCTATTTTAAATAATCAATGTATTTGTGACATTAGTTAACAAAGCTAGTTATTAGTAAAACAAGTAAGAAAAAAGTCTATTTATAAAAATAAAGAAGTTGCTTCAGTTGTATCAGGGAGTATAGGGGGTTTCACTCATATACTATCGTTTCTTACTACCCATAAACTGACTGCAGATTAGCTCACCCATGAAAACAGCCAGTACAACGTGCCCAAAACTGCTTGTTTTTATTTATCTCTATACTACACCCTCTATTCCAAATAAGAGAGACTCAGTCATTAAAAAAAAAAATCTAATTGCAGTTCACTATCACTAGTATGTACAGTTAAGTTCAAATCCAACAGATTATCTAGAAAGAAATTGTACACTAAACCTGAGGAGATAATGACAATTTTTTTGTTACTGCCCTTTATGAAAGATTCTAAAAATAAACTTCAGTGCCTGTAGGTATAACTGTTTTCACACAGCAGTAAGAACAAGTTGATAGGGAGAGATAAAAAGCGAATCATTACAGATAAGCATGATACCTTTTCATCTGTGTGTGCCTTTGCTGTATGAAGTTGGCTCCAGGATGAACATCAGGACCATTACGGACAAGTTTCCTCATAAAATTAATATTCGCTTTGTTCACCTGTTGCATAAAGACTTCAATCAGAAACAAACGAAACACTTTTCAGGACCTCTTGTTTTTGGTGGTGGCTTTTGTGTTTTCAAATTTTACGCTCAACTGACAATCCCCCTCACAGCCTCCAGCTGCTGAAGGGAACATGCAGGAGAGAACAGAGGAGGAAAATGTAAGCCAATCTTAGAGCCGAGTGACATTAAATTAAAAATCTGGGAAGTAAATTCAGAAATAAAAATACCCAACCACTCCTTAGACGGATACACCAAACATGTGAAGCTATGTATGAGTTCAAAAAATATCAAACAAAACTCTTCTTTCTTGATATGTCACTCCTTACACCATATGCCTTCACAGTACTTCCATATATCTGATAGTACAGCCTTCGTTTACCAGCAGCAACAGAACTGGCAAAGCATCACTGAATGACATTTTGAACATAAAAGCAATACATTCACTCCTTTTTATAGTAAGGCTATAAAGGAGAACAACACTGATGTCTGGTTTAAAAAAAAAAAAAAAAAAAAAAAAAAAAAAGCATAGAAAAGGTTTTGGTTCTACACTACTTACCTTTTCAGGAAAAGTTAGTATTTTAGCAACATGAATAGGCACTGCCACTTCATCTATTCTTAAGTTAGGATCAGGTGAAATGACTGTTCTGCCAGAGAAATCCACTCGCTTTCCAGACAGATTGCCTCTAAATCGACCTAACAAAATAAGCAAGTGAAAAGTCTTCTACACAAAAGCTGTTTTCACAATTGTATCTGTTAAGACAGCACATTAGAAAATCTTCCAAGCTACATCACTGAAGCAGAGGACAATAGTAGCAGAGAGATGCTTTGGAATACCAAATATTTGTTGGCTTAATTAAAACAATGTAATTATAAACAACTTTTTACACAAACCTTGCTTTCCCTTAAGTCTCTGAACAAAACCTCTGGTCCATTTCTTAGGTGCCATGTTGAGAGGAATCCCCGAGAGCTCACTGTTAATGTACAAGGCACACTGCAGCTGAAGAAAGTCCCAGTCTTCCATAATCATCTGTGTTTTTGCTCCTGATATCCTATGCTAAATAAAATGGTCATACAGTTCAGCAAATAAATATAACAACACATATTAAAGTAGCAAAGAATTTTTCTGATATGAGTACAACACTTCTTTCGAAAAGAATGTTAAAAAATCTTCATACATTGGAATGAAAAACGCGAGATAACTTTATAACAGGATGCATATTGCTATAGCATAAGGCCATTCACAAGAGAACCCAGCAAAAAATTTCTTTTGACTGGCACTGACTTTGGACAAATGCTCACAAACTATGTATTTGTTTAAATTATATTTTTCCCAAGCCACTGAAGTTAAGCTAATATAACTTCATAGCCTGGAAAATCTCCAGTAGTTAATAATTTTTCAGTCACGGGAGTTATTGTTCACTTGATTTTGTTTTCTTGACAAAAGACCAGTTTTGGAAAGCCTGAAAAGTATTAGTCTGGTGGAATTATTCTTCCAGACAAATGATGAATTGTCCAATTTACTTCTAGTCTCAATTTGATAACCATGCTAACTGAAACCTGATTTCTTAAGAATAGATGGTGGAATAAAGAAAGGACAAAGATGTAGTAAAAAAAGAGGAAGGCCAACATGAAAAAAAAACCCCAACAAACCAACAGATAAAATGTTTTCATTGTAAGTGACCACTTAAAAAGTGTCATTGTCATGGGGGCAGGAGGTGGGGGGTGGGGAAGAGAGAGGAGAGTTTACAGACCAGAACTCAGACAAAAAACCACTTCCCATGATCCACCAGCAGATCTTCAGCAGGTCCTACACTGCAAGCAGCCAGTCAGCCAGCTCCACTTGAAGCAAGTGTCTCTATTTCTTTCAATAAAATCCCAAATGACATAGCAGTACAGTACAGACTGATTGCTAGATTGTAAGCAGTAAGACAAGGAAAACCACTCGCTATATTCAATTCCAAACAACTCTTTTTGAAGCCAACAGCCTCCGAGAGCTTGAAGGATGACTCACCTTTTTTATTACATCGTTGAGGAAAATTATCTCTGTCAGTTTCATTGTTAAGTCATCTTCATTGGTGCCAGACTTCAAGTCACTCACTACAGAGGGTCTGATACACAGTGGAGGCACTAAGAGTCGCGTAAGGATCAAGTCTGAAGGTTTACCTGCTTCTGGGTTCATTAGAAGCAGAGGGATATCTTCCGCTGGGATTCTTTTGAAGAGGTTCAACACTACTAAAGGATTTAAGTTTTCCTACAAAATCCATTGCAGAAAGGCAAGAACAAGGCATCATGTAACAGTTTCAATGCTTCTCCCCCTTCTCTCATTTACTGGTTGTTCAAAAATAGAGTATTTCAGAGACAAACAGAAAAAAACCTATTAATGCAAACAAAATTATGTTTCATTCTGAACTCGGGTACTAACTTGCTATTTTCTTCCCTTTCTTTTTTTCCTTATACATCAGTGTTTACTTCTCATCGTGCCACTCTTTTTTTTAAACAGTTAACTGAGAGTATTTCATAGTTACTTGTCAAAGCAACTCAAAACGTCTTACAACAAACTCACAGTACATTGTATTCATTTTATTAGTAGGAACTAACATGAATTACAGTACTTTCTAGAGGTTTTTTTTTTTAAATCTCATTTCTCTCTTCTTAGTACAGTTACTGCTGCAGTATAAGAAACTCCAGATATTAATTACTTTTTCTCTCTAAATATGTACCCCAGGATCTTCCCAGCTTTCAAAGAGCAGAAGGAAACAAAACTGCACACAATACAAAGCTGAACGAAACCAAAGAGTTAGATAATTATGTCTCCTCTCTCCTTCTCAACATTAAGTTCTTCTGAAGAAAAAAAAAAAAAAATCTGTGTATTGTAATAATCTCAGAGCTACAGCAAATCTACACGTACATGCAGAGCTTCTATGGGCCTTTCTTCTCCCTTTTCTAGCTTATGGAAGTTTCACACACCAATAATATTCCCCTTCTTTACAGACAGAGAGCGATATATCAGAACATACCAATAAATTACATTTCTCATTTTTGCAAAGTTAACATTATTGCAAAAAATACAAACATTCTTCAAGTATCTTTCAGTGTATGAAAATCGTGGTTCACCACAAGGCTTAAGCCGCTACACTGAAAACCTTTGAGGAGTTTTATTTCAAGCACAAAACTAGCAGAAAATTCAAGTTGCAATAAAATTCACCTGAGCTCTTCCCAGTAAGGGTTCTACTTCTTTGTTATGTTCTATGGCAGTTTCAAAGGACTGCAGAAAAGTAGACACTATTGGATCTACCACTTTCTTATTGGTCTTGTACTTTTCATGTATTATTTTCAACAAACCACACTTCTTCACAGTTCCTGCAAGCAAATAAATGTGGGTTGTTGTTTAAAAAACCAAAACAAAACAGCAAAAACACCAATAAAATAACCAAAACAAAACTTAAAACGAGTAAGCTACAGTTCCAAAACTACTTAAATCTTCAGTGAACACAAGAATAAAATAAAACTTTATCAGCTTTATTAACCAGTTTCCTAAATTCACAAAATACAAAGAGGAGAATCAGGTCATGTCACCTTGTATGGCTGGCTTGGTGTGGCTAGATCATGATGTGGCTTCTGAAGCTGAAAGCAGGTGGTTTAGCCCACACTTTAATTCAGCTTCCCCTCAATCACAGCAGATTTTTTTTTTAAAGTAGAAGTTCCCACACTAAAAACAGGACTAAGATGTGCCATTTATATATCATCCCACTATCTTCCAAAGTAATTTTGAAAGTGAATTGTGCGAACAATCTGACAACTATTTTCATGTCATGAAACGGTATTCATAAAACTTCCACAGACTAGTAAAAGTGCTTTCCAAACTCAATTATTTTTTCTGAAGTATGCTGACCTACCAATTAATTTTGTAAACGCCTATTGTTTGTGCCCCCTCTATGTATATGTGACACTTGCAATGAAGCAGCTCTCGCTCTATTTATTCAGGCTGTTGATCATTGAAACAAACAACCCAAAATTTTCATGAGTTAAAAAAGTAAAATTTTAAGTTATGAATTAACCATCCACTATGAATCTGCAACACTGTCCTTTAACAGCAGTATCACTTGATCAGAATACATTAAAAAGTATTTTCAAAAACAAATGTGAAATCTTATTAAGATACTTTGCCCTGAAGAACAAACTCCTATATAATGCAAGATCATCACAGCTCAAATACAGCCAAACTGCAGAACATACCCTCCTAGAGGACAAACACATCTAATATTAAGAAAGATAACTTAATATAATGATGAAAAACGAAGTTCAATCAAAATTAAAGTCTACAAATGCTTCTAAGTTAAGGTGTTAATCACTGACAATAGCCCCCAATATTTTTAAAAACATGTTAAACGGGGTTTTTTTTGCCATTATTCAAGTATCAAATATTGGTTAGTGCCATGAAGAGATACCACATGAAACAAAACAAGCACCTAGGACAATGTCTCTATCCACATAAATGAGATGTGAACAAGCATGTACTTGGCAGTAAGAATGCAATTACCGGATTCTTAATAAAGGCCAGAGAGAATACTCATTAGCTGTGGAATGGACAAGGATATTCAAGATTTTGATGCCTATCACAGCCACCAAGGTAAAAACCATCACAGTAGATAACTATCACTAACTGCTAATGCCAACACTCACCATTAAAGGCACCACAGTAAGGACAAGTGTTTTTCTTTCGGCACTTTTCAGACACTTTCTTTTTTAGCCCTCTCTTCTGAAGATATGTAAGGCCAGGTCGCTTCAGGTAATCCAAAAATTGCTTTTTTTCTTCCACCGACAGCATGATACGGCAACAGGTTTTGCAGATCATCTTAAATGTAAATGCATATAAACACAATTGTTTAACAGACACATACAGAGTTGTAACATCTTCTACTGTAACGTAAGTTCTTCAACAGAGGACAGTTTTTTGAATGAATTAGAACAGTCTTGGTTGAAATACCGATTCATATGCTGTAACACACAAAAAAAAGCACATGGGAAAAAAATACAGTCAATGAGGTAAATCCTTGTCTAAGCTCTGTGGGATCTTAAAAATCCAGATACAAAGGAAACGGAGCTTTGATTTACTGGGATGTCCTAAAAGGCAAGTTATACTGCATACATTTAATTCAAACTACTACAGAAAAATAATGGATTAAATTAATCTGAGATTATATAAAGTAAAACGGATGTATTTACATCACTAAGACTAGTATTTAAATACATTTATTTTCCAAAGCACAAGATGCATAAAGATAAAATTTATAATGCAATCTTATTTTAGTCTTCTCAATTACTCTTTCAAGCATCGTCTTTTCTGATAGTTTCCTTTTTCTAGACTAGAAACTGACGAGAAATCATAATGGTGTTTACCTGTAAGATGCCTATCACAGCTTTGAAGTATCCAACATGAAAACAGGGCAGTTCTAAGTCAATGTACCCATAATGTCCTAAACAATCAGCTAGATTTTTTCCACAGGTTTCACAGGGACGGTCTTTTTCACTGGTTCCCTTTGGGAGGTGGGAAACACACACACAGAAAAAAAAATTAGCTATGATCAACTAAATACATAGAAAATACAACTTAAGCTAGTCAGCTATCGCAACAGCAGACCCACACTTACTCCTTTTTCCCAGCATCAGAAGCATGTCAGCAGCATTACATTCACTCCAATCCTTAAGAAAAGTGTCTTTCACACGCAGGCCCTACTGATACCAGTACCATTACCTCAAACAGCTTTTGCAACTGATCTACAGCCCGCTAACCTACAAGACAGTATTTTGCAGATGGACATCTCTGGGTCTCCCAACAACTAGCCAGAAAGAATTCATCTCCTGCCTCAAAAGAATGCCCTCCCGAACCATCCAAAAGCATGAAGAAAGCAGCTGTCACTGCAACTGACAGTCTACGGAACTCAAGTAGAGATACATTTGCACATATTTTGGATGAGCAGTAAATTTCAGTCATCTCAATTTATTTTTAACCAGTTCAAGTAATTCTACAAAAACAGTTTGGAAAAAAAAAATGGTTCTCACCATGCGATGGTCAAGTACTCCATACTGCAGCGGAGAGTGATGGTTGTCCTGACTATACAAGTTTTTGCTAACCACTTGAATGTGAGCTTGCTGACGCATCTCTTCTGGAGATTTCATGCCAAAACAGATGTGGCTTCTAGGATAGGAAATTTCACATGTATGTATGTATGCACATATATATGCAGAAATGCCTATAACTACAGGCATGCACACACATGTAGTTAAAAGCAATGCAGAAGAGGCTAAGTTGATTCACAGTATTGCTGAAACAGGTTCTTTTTGGATAACTATAAAAACAGAGCTGTTTTGCAGTGAGGCAGTGGTTTATACGTGGGGGTTTATCGATGTTCTCGGGCCAGCCTACAGCTGCTCACACGTACAGCCACCCGCGAGCCTCGCCAGCAGCCTCAACCAGGGCCCACGCCAGCGCTGTTACAAGGGGACGAGCGGTACCGTCAGCCGCCCTCGCTCCCCTGCACACTGAACTTCTCCCCGGGTCCTTTCGTAGCGCCTGTGCCGCCCCCTGGGATCGCTGCTGCCCGCCACCACGGCCACCGGCACCACCCCGCGGCAACGCCAGCTCCCTCGGCGCGGGGC